CTCGGTCTATCACTAATGCTGGAGTGCAGTGGCACGATCTCGGCACGCAATAGCCTCTGCCTCCCATGTTCAAGCGATTCTCATGCCTCAGCCCCCTGAGGGTTACAGGTATGTGCCACCACTTCTGTATAGTTTTTGCATTTTTTTTAAGTAGTAGAGATGGGGTTTCAACATGTTGGCCAGGCTGGTCTCAAACTCCTGGCCTCAAGTGTTCCCCATAGCAACTAGAGCAGATGCTGGGAAAATGTTCTTGCTGAGGATAATGATGGCTTTCTTAGCCCTTTTCACTTGGAGTACTTCGTATACCATACTGGCCTTACACGGGAGAGAGCCACTTTCTCAGGAACTGTGCCTTCCCTTCCATACCCAGGAGACAGGAGAGTCAACACTCCAGTGACTTCAGGTGGAAAGAAATTATATGTCGTGTATTCTTAGTCCCCTGGAATTTGATTGGAGGCATTAGGGTATTTTTGTGAATTATGTCAAGCATTTGCCTTTAAGCCTGCAGGACATGCTACATAATTTGTGGAGCCTGGTGCAAAATGAAAACGTGAGGTTCCTTGTCCAACAATTATTAAGAATCACAAGACAGCAGAGAACTAAACCAAGCTCAAGCTCCCTGTGATTGCAGGTCCACAAAGCTGACCCTGGGTGCCTATAAATACTGATTCTCCTTACTCTTGGCATAGAGTGTTCTCAGCATTTGCTGGGGTCTCAGTTGACCTCCACACCCCAGAGGAGTAGGTGTGGGACTAGCAGAAATATATAAAATATTTAGTCCAGGCACTGTGGCTCACGCCTGTAATCCCAGCATTTTAGGAGGCTGAGGCAAGAGGATCACCTGAGATCCGGAGTTCGTGACCAGCCTGGCCAACCTGGTGAATCCCTGTCTCTACTAAAAATACAAAAATTAGCCAGGCGTGGTGGCACACGCCTGTAATCACAGCTACTCAGGAGGCTGAGAAATGAGAATCGCTTCAATCCTGGAGGCAGAGGCTGCAGTGAGATCACGCCACTGCACTCCAGCCTGGGCGACAAAGCAAAACTTCATCTCGTAAAAAAAAAAATTAACCACCATGGGGCAAAGGAACTAACCTCTAACAACAGACTCCACCAGCTGCAGCCATCAGGAGAGCCAAACCACAGCCCCACAGGCAAGATCACCTTTTCAAACAAGGAAAGTGATTTCAGTGATTTGCACGACATGATAATTTTTAGGTCTCCTGCTTTCCCAGTCCTCCCCTGTAGCATCTGACTTCTGCCTCTAAGTGATTCCATGAGCCTGGGCATTTCTTCTGGAGTTAAAATAAATGCTTTGTTGGATGTGTATTCTTTTCTGGAAAGATCTAGAGCTCTGGAATCAGACAGACCTAGGATGAAATCATGACTCTGCTTGTCACTGTGTAATCCTGGGCAGGTTACTTAACCTTTCTGAGCCTCCTTTTACCCATCTGTAAAACGTGGAGAAAAAGATTTATCCTTTCCAAGTCATTATCCTGTGTAAATAACATAATGTCCCTCAAGAGCCAGGCACACATGGGAGGTCTATATTTGTGTTTTTCTTTTTTAAGATTCAAGTCAAAATTGTTTTACTGTCATTCACATATTTAATAGAAAAAGAAATGCACAAATGGCTCAGGGTTGTATTTAAAAAAGAATCCGGGTTTGTGCAGGTGGGTCTATTTACATCTGGGAGCAGGGTTGTCCCCACATCAGGCGCAGCAGCTGCACTTCTCCGACGCCCCTTTGCAGACGCAGCCCTGGGCCCACCTGGCACAGCCCATGGGGCAGCAGGAGCAGCAGCTCTTCTTGCAGGAGGTGCATCTGCGCTCTTTGCACTTGCAGGAGCCGGCACACGTGCAGGAGCCACCAGTGGCACAGGAGCAGTTGGGGTCCATTTCGAGCCACGATGAGGCTGGAGATCCCATGTGAGAAGTTGGGAAATTGTCAGGCACGTGGAACGTGTGGTAGGGAGGTCTATATTTGAAGGTAAAGGTAGGGAAAGAGCAGAGCATCTCCGGGAAGAAAGGGTTCCTCACACAGCCCCGGCGAGCACAGCAGCATCTTGGGAGGGATTCTGGTCCCTACCCCAAGCCTCTACTTTAG